TTGAAGACTTCCTTCGCCTTGTCCATTTGTCTTCTAGTTACTCCACATGTAGCCCTGACACACATGTTTCGACCCCAAGCGCTCATCGAACGTACAACAAAGGAAAAGTAATGTCCATCTATTTGTTAAATAGGCTTGCAAATGTGCGTTTATTTGTTTTTTTTTTAGAAGACAACCAACGAGCAAAGTGGCCCGGTTACTTATCTGCCGCTTGCTTTGATTTGTTGGGCCTAGAAATGAATTGGCCCAGTAGTTGGTCCGACTGGTCGCCGCAAGCTGTTAACCCAAATAATTATGGCTTCATTAAGTTGATTGTGTGTGTAAGTGGTTTTTTGATAAAGCCACTGAGTTATAGTCCCACTCTCATTTCGCATCCAATGACGATCCACCCGTCCGCTTGCTCAAAATTAATTGCATACAAATTTGCTCAAAAAATAAAAAGCAAAAAATATGTTAGCCACAAATGACACAAATTATGCAAAGATTAAAGTGCTAATTTTTGTGGTATCCCCGATACCGATACTGCCAAAGGGTTTCTGGCAATTTAATTCAGCAGCAGCCACACATACACAAGCCATCCTCAACATCCTCCCACACATGCTAGCATCTGCCTCGGGCGAAGTCAAATCATGTTGTTTGCCAATTACGAGTCGCTTGTCAAACTCTTCAGAGCATAACCAGGCTCCTCTGTTCCTCGATTCCTCTTCATATACTTCGTATTTGCGTACTTGAATATTTTTAAAGAATTTATTTATGTTGTAAATTTATGCTAGGAAATTTATTGAACCTTTCAGGCTGGACCTGCTGAAATTTTTCCTCTGATCAATCGCATAGCAGCAAATATTTATGCATGCAATGCCTCTTCATACATTTTTCGCATAGGGTATCAGATATAAAAAAGGTAGCTTGTTGTTGCCTAAAACTCGCTGGTTTTGTACAACGACAACAACGGCAAAGTCAACAGCCTAAATAAAAAAATGTTATATATATATGTATATATATATATCTATACAAAACAACCACACTATTATTTTTAATGGGCAAACATTACAAGTTTCTAGGGCAACAGCGGACAGCGAGGAGGCGATGTAAGCGAAAGCAAACATAAAAATAAATAACAACAAATTGGCAAGCGCCTCCTGCGTCCAATCCCTGCAGCAGCAGCAGCTTTAAATTTGAATCTACGCCCTTCACTCTGTCTCTGCCTCTGCCTCTGCCTCTGTCGCCGTCGCCGTCGCTTTCTCTCTGTTGTTTCCGCACTCGCTTAGTTTCTGGGCAGCCTTTGAGTTGCCTTTGAGCTATTTTATAATTAGTCCCAGGCATGACAAAAACTTTTGGCAGAACAACTTAAGTGCCAGCCACCGTCGCTCTGCCTGGTCCGTTTTAGCTAACCAACCGCACGCGGTGCACGTAGGCAGCAGCAACAACACAATAACAAGCCAACACACACACACACAGATACACACATGATAGATATCAGGCCATGTATGTGTGTGTGCTCCGTAGGTACGCCAACTGCCTCATGTTAAATTTTATGGCAAATAATGGGCGACATATGCCAAAAAAGTTTGCCACATGCTCCACTGCGCCGAAATTAGTTTGGGGTTCGGCCAACCCGTAGACGCCCCTTTCCCAACCCGTAGACGCCACGCCCCTAAAGCGTTATATGAAAAATTCTAAAACTGTTAATTGGCCGCCAAGGCAAAGACTAACCCAGCTCTGCTAAATGAACGAGTTTAGTTTAGCGCTTGGCTATTTGGCCTTTACTAATTGGCAGCAGCTGCTGCCGGGCCCCCAAAGACGGCTCTAATGCATAAGTATATATCGCTTGTGCCTTATTTAAACCAGATTCCAATAGCTGTCAGGTGACAAAGCTGCCGCACGCCCAATTTTAAACTTGCAATTTCAATCAAATAATTTAAGCAATGCATTTGTCAGATGCTTCGTGGCTGTGCACTCGCAGCGTGCGATGTTATTCTTTTGTCAAATAGAGCATGGCCGGGCGGACGGCTTCAGTTAAGTGCACGAAACTCATCAGGTGTGTCAAAATTGCAGTAAAAGCTCAGCGAGCACTGAGCACAGCAAAGTACAGCTCAAAATAATGTACAAATGGCAACTGAGCAGGCGGCAAGCTAAGAGTAATACTCACACACATACGCACTGACACCAACACACCCACACACACATGGACACACACTTAAAGGGCATATCTAAACCCAGAGCTTATGGCGAGAAGAAGATTTCTTTTTGCTGCTGCTGCTGCTGCTGTTACTACTTCTCTCGGTTTGTCTCATAAATTGTAACATTTCATCAAGTGTTGGTGATTACATGGTAAGATGGAACGAGGGTGTTTGGGGAGGTGGGCTGGAGCTGAGCACTTCGAATGTGATTACGCATCTTGTGTGAGATTGAAAGGTTTTGAAGGTGCAAAAGAGCATTAAATTACAATTTGCCTGCAGTGACAGTCAGCGATTTTTGCGCCATGTCTAATCTGTGCAATTGAAACATAAAAAAGGATAAGAAATTAAGAAAATTTGAGAGATCAGGTGAGGAGCTGCTTGAGCTTTGCTATGCTTGGAGTTTGTATGTCTTGAAGTATTTTCTGCATTTCATTAACGAAATTTTCGATTTTCTTGTCAATTAGGCAGCTGCAAACTTTTGACTATTTATCTTCGTTAGCCACTCGCTGTTGGAAGCTCACTAGTATTCGAGCAGTGGGAGTGTGTGCGTGTGTAAATGTTTTACCAACGAGAGTTCATAAGCAACACAGTCACACTCACACGCTAAGTATTTGACAAAAACACTTTGGAACTTTTTGGCATTTGCGTGCTGCAATCGAGTAAAAATAAACCAAGTAAAGGGAAATTACTTTGACTGCTAAACTTCTGGCGTCATATAAATTACTGATTTCCTAACTAACTAATTAATGAGAGTTTTGTGAATTCTTGAACTGAACTAAGTTCAAGTCAATATCTAAATAGCAGCAGTCCTATGCATGTTGAAATATTTAAGATTTAAGCCTCGCATATACATGTCTGTATACCAGGAATACCTATATATATGTTGTTTGGACTGCTGCGGTTTCTTTTGCATTCCTTCTAGGCGAGTGCTGTTCACTTTTGCATATTTTAGGTTTCTCTGGCTCTTTCGTTTAGCTACTTTTTCGCAAAAAAATAAAATTGCAATATCCTTTAAGCCATTTCCGCTTGTTGCTCAATGCCCTCTTTGTGTAATGCGGAAATAACAATGCGCCAAGGGGATTTGCAAGTGCAACACACACAGCTGCACACAGATGCACGCACACATAAGCATACCAAATCCAAAACATGTTCATAACAATGTGGCTTTGCTAAAATACTTGTGAAGAGCGACGCATTGAAAAATATTTGTGATATTTTGCCTTGAATTCGCTGAGAAATGCTTTCGTGTGCTGGCTTATTGTACTTTCGGTTCTTATTCGGCAACTACTACCAAGGCCAATAACTATCTGCGAGTAAAAACCATTAATTACTTTAGCTAGGCAGCACCTTGGAACTTTTATTATCGTTTGCAGTGCAGCAGGCTGCAATTAATAAAATGCCTCTGTCCGAACCCGTGAGTAAGCCACGCCCTATGGCTGTAGCTGATGTTTGCAGTGCCTGCTTAGCCTGCTGGCAGTTCTTGTCTGCAGCAACAACAGCAGCAGCTAATTTGGACGCGTGTCAAAAACTGAGCAGCGACTAAGTCACTTTGGACAGCCGGCCGGAGCTCGACATCTGAAGCTGTTCGCCTGTCTGGCAGTTGGCGTCGGTTGGCTCCAGTGGAGCATTTAGCTAATTGTCTGCATTTGTCAAGAGCAGAACATGCCACCAAAAAAGGCGCATTAAATTTATAACAATTGTTTTACAATTGTCGCCAAAAAAATAAAATGAAATGAAATAAAGCTGAAGCAGAATTGTCACTGCGTTACTTTTGTTTTCACAGTTTTTGTCTTAAGCAGCGCGGATCGGGGCTGACGAAAGTAGTTAGCCAATTGGCAACATTATTTAAGAATTGGCCTGCTGCAGGCGCTTTGATTTATGCTGCAGTCACTTTTTTTCATTCTCACTAAATTTTGGCACACACATGTGATGTCAACTGTGCCCGGGTGCGTCTGTATGTAGTTCTGCACTAATTTGCAGTTAGTTTAATAAATTTTACAGTGCGCCACATGCGTGTGCAGAAAGTTTGTGTGTGCGGGTCAAAAACTTTTAATTTCTTGTTTGGCAAGCGGATTCGTGTTATAAATTTCCAGCACTTGACCCAGCACACCAGCCGACAATGTATGTGTGTCTATGTGTGTGTGCGTGGTAATTGTATTGGTATTTATATTTGCCAAAGTGGCCACTGCTAAGCTGCTCTCATAAATCACCCAAAGCCTGTGTAGAGTGGCAATTAATGCAAAGCAGCCAAGGAAACAGTTGCCGCTCGATAAGACGGCCAGCCGTTGATGCTTTTCTATTGCTGCTGCTGCTGCTACGCTTGCTGCTTTCCATAAACAATTTGCAATAAAAATGCAGGCCAAATGCTGAGGCTGCTGCAATAACAATGGGCAAAAAAAAATATATATATATAATATGAAGCACGAATTAGCCAGAAAGTATGCAACAGAAACGGCAACAGGAAGCGGACGCAATAAAATATGCACCAACTGCCAGTTGACTGCGACGTGCAGAGTGTCGGGGCAAGACGATAACGATAACGATAACAATAAACTGGGTTCAGGGGCTGCACGTGCACAGTGAAGAAAGCACCAACGCTCGCTCGAATGCACTGCGTGCGTTAGCATTAAGAGCTCAGCAATGCCAGTCGCCATTTTAACGTGTACAGCACCGAGCAGCGTGGGATATTTCAATGCCGCTTAACAGTTCCTCGAAGACTCGACCTACACGAACTGTTCTATAAGCAAGCGTAAACTTTATTTCATATATACAAAACTTGGCATTCTGCAAGAACTGATCTGGCTTTAAAGTCAATTAGCTTTTAGCAGTCAAGCAACGCATGATTTGCCCATTTAATACAGTCTTATGAATAATTATTATCGAAACAACTAAGGTGTGTGCCCAGCTCATCCAAAAAGACAGTATGAAATTGTCGTGTATCTTTGCAGCTGTCAAATGTGTTGCATAAATTATGCAATATTCAAAAGCTTGAGATGCCAGCTCTGTGCTGGGGCAAAGAGGTTCATGGTTCATCTGAGCTTGGCTCCTTTAGCGATACATTTGCAGAAGTGTCGCCTTAAAAATTCGATGGTGTGTGTAATGTGTTCTGTTTAGTATTTAGGCAGTCGGGTGTTGGGTGTTGGGCACTGGGCGTCGCATTTCTATTCGTCAGACGTCATGTATATGATAGGTGACACTTGCTACTAGCTTGACAAACACAAGGATTATGCAAATGAAGTTAGTAACGTTCGGAATTCATAAACATTTCTATATTTCATGAGCACTCATGAACATTTATGCAGCACTCTGTGCGGGCATTGCAAAGGCAAAAACAAACGTTGTTTGTGTTATTTTTACCGTCCTCTTGTGTTGTCCGCATATGTGTGTTCTGCTGCATGTTTTTATTGGTTGTTTGAGCCAAATGACTTGGCCGTACGTGTTTGCAAATGAATTGCGAAGTGTTTCCATGAGTTGTATGTCGCCCCATCTGCTGCTTGCTGGCCTAGTGAGGAATGCCTTTGAATATTTTAGTTTGCAATTGAATGCAGTCAAACTTTGCCTAATTCAATCACCTGAAACCAAAGCAACTACTATTCTCACAATTAACTAACTTCGACCATATGACACTAAAGATTTTATCTGATTATCCTTGCAAAGGACAGCCAAACAAACTAACAGTTGAGGCGCCGCAGATGGCAAACAGTCAAGGCAAAATAAAGGTAAAACACTTGGGGCGAAAACAATGTGCAAAAATAAGTAAATCCAAAGCCAAAAGCAAAGCCAACAGCCCAGCTCCCAGTGCCCGCTGGAACAATGCCTGACCAGTTGGTCACCTTTGTGGACTTGGTTGCTAGGTGACAGAGACAGCAGTGAATCAAGCGCCAACCGAGAGTTCAGCAAGGAAATCGCATTATATGCTTACCTCGTTCAGCTCAGCTCTGGGTCCCTATTATATTTTGTCGTTTCTCTGCGAACCTCGCAGCGCTATCTTCTCGCTATAGCCGCTTTGTTATTTCGATTTTATTTTTTTTTAACGATGCTCCGTCTTTGATTGTGCACCTTTTTCTAGCTGATGCGGCCCCTGCAGCTGCTGCCCTATCGAGGGGGTTATAAATATGAGAAAGCATTTCATAAGATATCCTTAATTAAAGTAATTTCCTCTCCTCTGTGGCTGGGTCAGATTTACGACGGGTTTGGTTTGGCTTTGCCGCTCGAAGCGTGTGCACATACTGAAATTAAATTTGCAAAGAAGAGTAAAAGGAAATAAGCTACGTAACATAAAGGTGCGACCGAAATATGGCAGCACAATGACCCCGTTACGCACACTCACGCAGACAGACAGCTTGGGCGAGGAGGAGACAGAGGAGGGCAACCACACATGTATGCCACCCCATGGTAAAGGGTTAAGAGCGAAGCTTCATATGGCCATTAACATGAAATTTTTAACAACAGCCACGCAAGAAGCTCGGCGGTTCACCTGGACGACATTCTTGTTAGCATTTTTGTTTATCGTGTTGTTGCTGTGCTGTACCTGCTGTGATTGTGGTGGATAGTGGGTAGTTGGTGATTCCAAACGACATAAGCAACGTCGAGGTGCTGCAACAGGAGCAGCTTTTGTCATTGCTTTCAATGGATCTCTGACTTTTCCTTTATGCCTCTCCCATGCTATGCTTTTTTCATTCATTGTTGCTTTCGGACTGCGGCGTTTTGTTTTTAAGCTCTGAGCCCTTAGTTTCTCGGACTATTCTTTTCCAAGCTCACCTCGCCTGCTAAGCCAGCACCTGTGCCATAAGTACTCAAAGCAGTAGCTGCACCATGCAACAACAATAATAATATAAGCAGCAAACGCAGCAGCTGCAACGGGACTTACCCTGCCGCAGTTGCTGTTCTTCTCATCTGGACGTCGTCGCACAGGATACGACGCTTATTTATCGCTTTTTTATGTGATATAAGCGTTTCGCAATTGGCAACGTAAAACATTAAATTTATTGTGGGAGAAATTGAGATTGCAATGCGAACAATATCAACCAACTATAGCAGGCGTGCCCCATGGTAAATGGTAAAAGCAATGGAAACCGAATCAAAACGTAATTGATTCGCCTTGGCAGCTCCGATGACATTTAAGGTTACAGCTTATTATTTTGCATAACCAAAGGATTCGTAACGCACAGCTGCACCACTAAATAGCAAAAGTTTGCCTGAGATCAGCTTAGTTATTGGCAACACTTTCAACGAAAAGGCTGCCAAGTCAACCCAATACAATCATGCAATGTTTTCTACTGGTGCTTTTACTTGTGAGTAGAGCGATGGCGATAGAGGAATTGGAGGGTCCTGAGCATCCGCTTAAACTCTTGAGGAGTGTCAATAATATAACAGATCAAGTCGACACCAGACTTGTGAACAAGCCTTTCACGGAGTGCAAGAAAACTGAGATACTGATCGTCAATAGGGGATGTGTTAATCGTAAGCAATATATGCTGGGTGTACTCCAGCGTTCCTGGTCTGACGGTGATGGTTCCAACCCCACTGCTGGAAGTCTCAGCAGTATGGTATGCGCCATTAATGAGCTGCAAACGTCTTCTGGCTGTGAGCCACTGCCGCGCGACGATCAGACTCAGCGCCCACCAGTACTGCCGAACTATCTCTATGGAAATCAGGTGTACAAAAACAAACTTTCTATACCCGATACGGATAAGGCGGTTCCATTTAATCCAGCGGGTAATTCAAATGGTCTACGTCACAATTCAGGGAGTGCAAATCAATTTGACGCTGGAGATGTGGTCCAAGTTGTAGAATCTACTGGAAATATCGAAGCAGAAAACAGCATTGAGCATGTTATTGGCCATAATCGGCCGAGAAAATATTCATTTTTGCCGGGCAGGCTGCTTACTACCTACCGAAAGTGTCGCCCCTATGAGGTTTTGGGCATCAAAAATCGTTGCATTCGAAAGAAGGGTAAGGTTGGATTCTACAAGCACAAGACTCACGTGTATGGAGTACAGAATCGTCATCGTCATGGGGCGATATACGACAAGAACAACGTAATTCACATTTTTCCTCAGGAATATCAAAAATAACAACTCAATAAATTACTAAAACCAGATCAGAAACTGGACCTTTTCGTTATTTTCTTTGAAGAGTTTGTAGTTTATTTACACAGAGGTGCCACGTAAGTAATTTAATCAAAGTAATTTAAATTTTGTTTTAAGCCCGACCATTTCGTTTAACGACTACCAATTTCATAGGCCCCTTTAATGGCATTGACAGCAAATTGGATTTTTGCCTTAAGCTACTGAAAAACAAATTCAAATAGATACGTGCAGAGGTTCCTTGGGCTTCGAGTGATGTGCTTGTAAATGAGCTCGGTTATTTTATAATATGTGCAAGGCTTAGAAATGTAAGAGCATAATTAAATAGGATTTGCGCCTTGGGTTACTGAACTCAGCACCGCTTTGGGCTTAAGGCAGTAGATGGGTTGTGGAAAGACATGGGAGCTTGTATGATTGCGCAACGGATTACCGGGCAGCTGCAAAATGGATGGCTTTGACATGCTAATTAGTTAACCTCTCGCATAGTTTCCTGCCAGGCGTAACCGTATTTTATGTACAACAAAAGCGCACAAATGTCTACGTAACGTTGAAGTGTAAGGGTCGGCGTTGGTGTTGCTCATACGCCACGTTTGACAGACCTCAGACGATACAAAGCGTTTAAGTGCCAGCCACCCGACACCAAACATGATGAATAGTTCTGCAATAATTACATTACTTGGCAGTTTCATGTTCACTCCTGTCGAAAGAAAGTCACACGTGGCTGCGCTTCTGGGCATGTATAGATGTACACAACTGTATTCGGGTGTTATTATTATGCCAAGTTGTGTATGCGATTTGCTGTGCAAATAGTGGGCCATCAATATGAGCAGCTGCTGGCTCAACATTAATCATATTCAGTGTTAATTAATCAATTAATTATGTTCTTGAAACTGTAAATTTGTCGCCTTGTGCTTAGTCAGTCTGCAGCTAAGATTCCTGATTCATAAATTATTGCCAACATTCTCATCTATCCATCTCTCTGTCACTCGATAGCATCCAATTCAGAAGTTTGTAATCTGAATAGCATTTACTCCAATGCTTATTATATTAAAGTACTTATAAGAGGCATAATTGGACGGATTATTAGATTGCATTTGTGCTTGGCTCTGTCTTCTAAATCTGTTGATTGACAAATATAAACTCAGCTCAAGGCATACCTTAATCTATCTGTTGATTATAATTTTTGCCAGTATTTTAAATATTTTGTGTCGCCTAGCTAGCGCTCTGCGTGCAATATTGCATATATCAGCTCTAAAAATATAAAGCGCATAGCTTCGCAAATTGTCAGCGTGAAATCGAAATTCATAAAATATGGAATATTGAAATATTTAAATCGAATGTCAATAATGTCTGTCTGCCCGCCAGCAGTTGGCGAGCCTGGCTGTCAATAAATTGTAGAAACGATTCTCCTCAACTTGCAACATTTTCAAATATTCTCTAGCGCACACACAGCGAGGCATTGTGTGAGATATGTGTAAGTAGTGTTTTCTTTGTAGCCGTGTTTGAAATATCAAATGTTCTATTGGGCCAAACTTGCATTGAAATATACTTTGTGCTGATGTGCAGCAGCTTATGCAAATAAGCATGAATTCCTGTCGATTTCCCAAACTCACACGCTAAGGGAATTTTCATATTTAATATAGTTCGTGTAAGAGGCTAGAGTATTGAGTTAGCCTTGATTATTTTCCTAAATTAGTATTCTATGCCAGTTATCGGAAAACAAAGGCCACTTAGATGACAACAAACGTAGCTGGAATTAACTTGATTGCATGTCGAAACGGAAAGTATCAATGTGAAGTGAAAATTAGATGTGGAATATGGCTAAACATCCTTAAAGTTGTTCAAAATATACATCAACTACTGTTGAGTTTCATTGTCAGCTGCTGCTCGTTAATTGATGTGCTTTTGCCGTCGCGTTTACTCACGGGTATTTGCATATTGTTGTTTGCTTTGGTAATTAAGTTACCAACTTATTTAACGTGTTTATGGTGCTTACACAACAATTTATTTACCATAATATTTGCCAGCGTTTAAGCCAAACTGTTATTATTGTTGTTGTTATTATTGCTGGAGTTCCGCTAATATTATTACAACTGTGATTCGTGGGCTTTATTCTGCGCGCAGATTTGTGGCGATTTGAGTTGTGCAAGCAAACGAATGAAAAGTTAAAGCAAAAAAAAAAACACCAGAACCTTAAACAATAATAAAACATTCAATTAAGCGCAGCACGCTGTGGCTGTTCGGGTAATTACATAAACGGTTTATTTATTTTCGCTCGCCTAGTGCCTGACTGACTGAGTGACAAAAATGATTTTCACTCGACTGCCGCTGTGTTTTATATATTAAATTAAATGAAATGTCCAACTGCCGCTACACAGTCAGTGCTGCTGTAAATTGTCATAAGAACAAGCTCATAAAAGTTACGCATACGCCATGTAACCCCTATGGAAGCACGTCGCGACGCCGACTAGTTCGAATGGCATCTTTCAGATGTTGAACAAACGTGGCCAAACATGGCCCATGAAATACCTTACTCATTGGCTCAACAAGCCAGAGTGCTTAGTCATACGCGGAGCCACACACCCACACACTGGCACATTCAGTCACTCATATCGTCGAGTTTGTATTTGTATCTGGTAGACATTTAAGGGGCTGTCACTTAATAGATGCAGACACATACTGAGCATATCCTGGCGTGGCTTGGCCTGGCCTGGGCAAGACTTACTGGTAGCAGATCCTATACTTGTTCAAAGAATGTTGATGATTTTGATGTTATTTGAAAGCGTTATGCGTGACGAAACGGACGCTCTTAAAAGCCACAATAACTAAACGCTTGAAATGAAGCCAAAAGTCGCCGGACTTTGCTTATAAGCAGTCCGAAAGGGACATCAAAATATTCATGGTCCTCCAGTACTGGCCTTCTGGTGTCTGGTGTCGTCCTGGTTGGCGGCGTATGCAGCGCTCGCCATGGCACATTAAGAAGGACTCTTTCTGGTTGTAAATTCTACTATTTTATGCGCTTTTTGTTACGCACTGCTAGAGCAGGCGGCCGGACAGTGCCAAGCATTGCGTTGAGCTAGAGCATTGCCACGCCCCTATTATAAAGACGCCAGCCAGTAGGAGCAAACGCCAAGGCAATGACAGCAGCAACATAACCTCATTATTTTAATTAGATGCGAGCCAGGAGTCTAATCATGACTTCGTGCCAATTCGCCAGTTAGCAAAGTGGTCACCAATGGGCCAGCTGTGTAGCATTTAATTAAATTAAGTAGATGTCATATTGTCATTACAGTTGTTTTTGAACATTTTAATGCATTTTAAATATACAATTTACAGGCACAGATTGAGTGTGGGAGAGGAAAGTATTAGCATATATACATTCATATATAAATTCATAATTTACTGGAACATAATTAAAACCAGACGGACAACATGACGTTAGCGTCGCATGGTTTGACTGTGCCCAGCAGGCCGATCAAATATCAATAGCTAATCCACTGGGAAGCCATATGCCAGATGGGCATGCAGCCCCACTAAGTTCGTACAGCACGTAACCTGCGGCCGACTGAGACATATTGCGTTAGGCCACAAACGCGCTGGCCCCGATATAAAAAATGAGGCATCGTGGCAAAGGACTGATGTATAGTCTATATGTCAAATACATCAAACTTGGGTAGCTGTTTGGCCTGGCAGCTAAGCAAACATAGGCCCAGCAGTGCGTCGAGAACTGAGTCGCTGTCTGAAATGTGTATATCATTTGGATTGATTGCCAAGCCCGAAAAGCTAGGCCATGATGCGTCTTTGTTTGTTTGTAACTGTCGGTACGATGGCTGGAACACGGCCTGGGCTTAGGACTATGCCTTGGCCGTGTTTCCGTGTGTGTGTTTGGGATTCGTGGTCTATGCCCAGTGGAAAACGAAAGCGGCGGACAAGCGAATCCTTCATATGCTTTCGTTGTCACACTTGGTTTGGTGGCACGTGCAGAGACGTAGATGAGTTATGAAATGTGACGCTGTTGTCTTTGAGGGTTGTGGGACGTGCAGCAGGTTTATTAATAAATCAAAGCCTAAAACTTTATTCCCAATATTAGATTCATAAAAGCTAGCGCTACCAAATGAGACATATATAGATAATAATTAACTTGAAGCTTGCATTGTCCTCCTTAAGTAATTTTACTCTTTTTTTTTATCGATTTAATAAACTGCAGGAATAGCTTTGATCTGAGAGAGCTATAAATAAATATAAAGTTATATACATATTGATTTGTATTTATAGTTTTCAAGTACCACAGAGTACTTAAGTACACTTAAGTATTTTTTTAAAAATGAAAATATATAAAACAACTCAAGCTGACATTTCGGCAATAGTGCAAAACAATGCAAGATACAAGTACACTGTGACACGCACAGAGATACAAACTATGTAGAGCACACATACATATACCAACATACATATGCTGGGACGGGATACTCGTAGCAGCGAGCACTTGAAGGCACCACAGAAAGCCAGCGGAAAGATGTCGACGAAGTGCAAAGCGCTTCAAACGATTTTCCGCAAAGTTGACTGCTCCTTGCAGTGGAAGGTGTTTCAGAGTGCCTGTAAGCGTATATTGGTGTGTATCGGTGTGCATGTTTATGGCCACAACAGAGACAGCTGAAGAAGCAGCAATAGCAGCAGCATCAGCAGCAGCAACAGAGCCTGAAATACAATTTTCGCCAAAAGCCTTTAGGTATTTCACGCCAGCAAAATATGCGAGTATGTTAGACAGGCGTGGGTAAAGAAGATCGCCGAGCTCGTGTGTTGCCAACTTCACACCCAATGGCGGCAAATTTTTGGCAACAAACTTGTATGTGCGACTAAGATGAAGCAGGACTAGCCGAAAGGCGAGCAGAATAAGAAGAGAATGAGAATGTTTATGTTCATGTGTATGCGAAGAGTCTACCAAGGGCCAAGTGGAAGCTGAGGTGTGTCTGTGTGAGTGTGTGTGTGGCAGTCTGCGAATTTATTGCCTAGGG